CTTAGGGAAAGTTATTAATTCCAAGAAGTTAGACAATACTGACAGTGGTGCCTCATGTTTGCAGATACTCAGATACTTCCTCTGACTGATTTTATACTTATTTGATCAAAATTTCTGCAAATCACAAAATATAAATTATACCCGAGGTAACACACTACCATGAAATACAAAACTAACATTAAACACATTTTGTTCCATCACTACTCTTTGTAGTTGCCCATTCTCTCTAATGTATTTCCTTGTCCCCTTCAGGTTAATATTGAGAAGCACATTCTGAAATGAAAAACAGCTTAAAAAAGGAGAGACTTTTTTTGTACTCTTATTATTCCAATGACCTTTACAAAATTAAATGAAGACAAAATTTCAAAACTAAAGGTAATGAACGGCCAATATGCTCTCAGGGAAAATTTTTTTGTTAGTTTTTTTGTGTCCTAGAGATAACATACACGGCCCAGAATACATGTATGGTAAGTGTGTGCGCTACCAACCAGGGAAAACATTTTAAACTAATTATCTTTAGGCCATCTATAAAGTACAGAGTTTATCTTATACCTTTCCCGAAAGGTATAGTAGTTTATTTACTTTTAAGGAGTCGAGTCTGAATTTTAGGAAAATCTAATTTTTGTCATATTTTTAATGGTATAGACCATCCATGAATGGTAAATGAAATGGAGATGGTCAGCCATACTGTCACAGACAAGAATCAACTATAACTGTGTTATCAACTTACTATAAATGGCCTATTCTAATGTGCTTGAAAGTACTTTGAAGTAAAGATTAACCTTTAAATTTTATTTATAAATGATCAACTTGCTTAGCAATGTTTTCCCACAGAGAAATGTGACCTAAATCTGATTTGATGGAATAATCACTGAAGATTTAAAAAACAGAAGTGATATTTTTGCATGTATTGGTACTCTATAAAATAAAATAGCCATTTATTCTAATTAAAAAACACAAAATGGGGGCCAGGGAGATAGCTCAGTGGCTTAAGCACCTGCCTGGCAAGCTCAAGGTCTTCAGTTTGATCCCTGGTATCACAAAAAAAAAAAAAAAAAAACCCACACACACACAAAATGCTCATCTGGGAAAATCTGGTAATACCATACTGCACAGCAGGTCCAATACGAAGCATCTTTCTTATGATCTGAAAAAGAAAGAGCTCAGAACACTTCAGTTTCTACAAAGAATTCAGATCTTCACTCAGAATGCTAACTTTGTACAACTCATTTCTCCCATCTAAATACAACACTTAAGTGATCAAATTAATATAGCTATTAGCCATGCAAATAAGTAGTTTATTGGTCATTAATATAATTTTCATTCTTTAAAATAATCAAGTTGCTACATTTCAAACAATTGCCTATTGAGTTTCAGGGCTTTTTTAATTCAAAAGTAATGCTTTGACTATATAAGCTTATTAAATTACATTTATACTAAACATAAGGTCATTTACATAACATGTTAATAAATTTAGCAGTGTTTTTTTTAAAAAAAAAAAAGGGAAAGAAAGCCTGGCTTGACTTTTTAAAATGACCTTCCTCTGGTCCATTTAGTTTTTTTGCCAACAAATGACTCATTGACGATAATGAAAATGTTCCCAACTAAAGAACTATCTCCCTTTCCCTTTCCAGTTAAATACCTTAACATACATGTATTATATAAAACATATAATTATATATATGCATATACATATACAGAGAGAGAGAGAGAGGTTTATACAGAATCGTTTCTGCTTCTAGGCAAAGTATGGAAAATTACTAGACTTCAAGTCAGAAGACCTGCATTCAAGTCACAATCTATCAATTATACAACCAGGAACATGTTTCCCATTTGGAACTAATTTTTCATCTGCCAGGAGGAAGAATTCTACTTACTTTCATCACAGACCCTCAAAAGTATACTGATGGGCTCAGTTGCACAATCCTGTAATTCCAGCACTCTAGGAGGCTGAGGTAAGGTGGATGCAAAGTGAAAGTCCGGCCAGAGTGAGTAAATAACTTAGGTAACTGTCTCAAATTTTAAAAGTACACGAATAAATTGCTGGGAATGTGTGCAGCTCAGTGCAAAGGCCCTGGGTTCAATTCCCACTATACTGTGGGGTGGGGACTACCTCACAGTGGTTTTTGTTGTTTGTTTTTTGATTTTCAGTTCCTCATGGCATTCTCAGGAGTAATTTTTAAAACATACTGCACAAAACACAAAGAAAAAAACCTCAAGCATGTATACAACATGAGCTAAAAAGGTATTTTCTTACAGATTAAATTGTTGGAAATTTTCTTAAATTCTCTTCAATGCATATAAAATTGAAAGTAATAAAACACACCACCAAAGAACTAAAGCAAATACTGAAGAAAAAAAAATTAAAAGCACAACAAAGAGATGAGGAAAGGAAAAACTCACACCTTCCCAAACCCAAAAATGCATTTGAATTAATAAATTATAGGACAATAAGAGACTACAGTCCAGATAAACAATGGCTTCAATTTTAGTTAAACCTTAGCACACTCATTTTCAGTTAGGCAACCCTCCCCACCACCACCACCATTTTGGGTTTTTTTTCCCATACACACACAAGCGAAGGAACATAGACAAGGTATTTTATTTTATCTCAAAAATGTTTAGGTCAAGTGTAACGAAGAGGCAAGCAATCAATATATCTGGCAAATAACATGACTACCTACAGACACATAATCTTTGGGGCTCTAATTAGTGTGGGGCCAAGATATGCTAAGTATCAAAAGGGGTATTCCAAATTGTGAAAATACAGATCCCCTGAGCACAAAGCTGACCCTGCACGAATACAACTGTGACCCTAGTTTTACAGTTTTGCCATGCTGGCTCCAAATTAATTGTTTTAAAATAAATCAATACATGAAGCTGAAGAATATAAATCTGGTTGCCACTGACAAGGATTTCAAGAAACTTGGAGAGCAGCAAGCAGCAAATTACCCTAAATTGAGAGTCTAAAGATGTCATCTTCATTGAGCTTCCAAAGCAAACCTGTCATAAAACTACATTTGACTAAATTTCCCTCAAAACCTTGGAAGCACCATGACATTGAAAGCCCAGAACATCTAATCTTAAATTCCAATCCAAGCCCTAACTTACTTTGCTGGGAACCTTCAGTAGGTCATTTAATATGCTTCATTCATTTCTTCTGTGAAATAGGACAGAGCTATTTCGTAATGGAAAAATTTCGAAGTTATTAAAACATGGCCAACATTTTGTTGTAAAAATAAAATTAGGTAAGACTTCTAAAGCAATGCTTGACACATTTTAAATACTTACCATTATCCACTGATATTATATATGAATTAAATCAAGTGGGAAAACATTTAACATAACCAGTTCAAACGCATTATTTAAAAATTCAAATCTCATTACCCAGTCATTCAAAATCTTGGGGGCCGGGGAGATGGCTCAGTAGAATAAGAGCTTCCCTGGCAAGCACAAGGGTCTGAGTTCAATCCCCAGTTCCACAAAAAAAAAAAAAAAAAAGCATTCAAAATCTTAATTACAAAGAAGATATTAGCTTAGCCTACCAAGAAAAGCAGTGAGAAAAAGTGAGTTTAAGATCTTTTTTGCCGATAGGTTGTTTTATTAATATTTTATTAATCTAAATTTCATCCTTAGTGTCATATTTTAATTTTTTTTTAAAAAAACCCTGTTTCTAGAATCACAAATTCAGGGGCCATGGAGATGGCTCAGAAAAATAAGTTCTTCCCTAGAATCAAATTCTTCAAACTTCTTTTCTACTTGTTTGCTACACTAATCAAACGTAACGGTCCAACCTAGGGCATCAGTACACTTTTTCAAAAAGGCTGCCTTAGGACCCCACATGGTTTAGGCTAGCCCGGACTATCATTTGCCAGTGAGAGAGCACCGTAACAGCAAAGTGTAAATTATCTTGAGTCCTAGGAAAACAACAGATTTAGTCATCAAGAAGTAGGATGTGTGAAAAAGACAACAGATCAAAACACGGCCCAAGCTCCCCCAGTTTTGGTCACATAATTTTGGGAAAGCCATTTGCCTCCGGAACTCATTGGCTCTATCTGTAAAATGGGAATTATCCTCTCTTGGGAAGTTTGGAGTCAAAAGCCCAAAATACGAAGGAAAATACTAAAATTCCAACACAAATACTTTGAACAGTCTTTTTTGCTGAAGTGTTTTTCAAAACACAAGTCATATGATAAATACAGAATTTTGATTTCAAAATAAACCACTATCATTCAAAATTGCTACTTTAAAAAAATAAACTTGCCTTGGATTGAGTTCTCTTTCCATTTCTCATGTTAAATTTTTCCTTCATTTCCTCTAAAATTATCTTCAATTTCTTTTCTTCAGGTGTCCCTAAGTATTTTTGGTTCACATGAAGGTAACAATGCCATTTGGCTGATTCGAAGCCCCAGTGGCAAGTTCTTTTGTCAGGTGATCTGTGAGAATGCATCACAAATGTCTGGGGTGCAAACATTCCACAGCACTCCAGACACTGAATACATGGAGCATCAGGCTGCACATAAAACTGAGGTGCAAACAGACCCTGACATTTGCCCAAGCATTCATGTTCCACTTCAAAGGCACTGCCAGTTTCCTTTAACTGGGCCAAAGAGTTTTTAGCAGGAAGTATGCTACCATTTTGGAGAAAAGTTCGTGGCCGCAATAAAGCATTACACAGTCTTTGTGCATCAGTTAATGTGATCAGCCCACAGGATGGAGCATTGAATGGAAGTATTCCCAGGACCTTCAAGATGTGAAGCTGGTCTGATGTGCACCTTGAACAGTATATATATAATTCATCACACACTGTATTTATCTGCTGAAGTGAAAATTCTCGGAGAACAGAATTTAAGACTTGGGGCAAACAGAGTCTCTTTTCGCCTCCAACTTGAAAACAAGAAACAGACTCCCCTTCCAAAACAGTCTGGGTGAGCTCTGTGGAGCTATCAGAAGGGATAAGCAGCGGGCCAGGAAGAACCTGAGGAGATGGAAGAGGCAGAAATACAGTGGGTGACATGCTTTCTTGGGAATACCGAGCAGAAAATGCTGCTGGTCCACCCAGAGAGCTCTGACTACTTAAATGGAATTGTGCCAATGTGTGTTTCAAACTGGGGTTTAAATTTAAAGGTTCAGGCATGGAAGTACACGTTCGCTTGACAAGTTCTCCATCAGTTTCCATTGGTGCTTCTCCATAATCATCCGGATGCTCCTTCTTTACTGTTGGCACCTTATTAACAGTTTTTCCAGTTGCATGAATATCCGTCATCATTTTTTTCACCGGAGGGCTACCATCATCCCCCATCAAATTGAGTTTCTTATTTGCGCCCTGAGCTAAGGAGAAATTTGTCTGAAGGTTTTCCATTGCTACACTATTTAAATAATTAAGTCTGATATTTGCATTTTTATTTAGTTTCTTCTTTGAGGAGAGAATAAATGTATACAAACACAACTTACTCTTGGAAAATATTAATCTCCAAAGAGAAATCTGAACTGATTTTGCAACTTTGTTTTGGCGCTTATATCTTAATATAATTTCCTGCAAATGCTATAAAATTTCTTGTTTTGCTGCTAATAACTAAGAATATAATCTTATGAGGCACACTTCTAAGGAAGCTTCTGTTTTCTTGAATTCTTCAGGTATACATAAAGCAAAGATATCAAGTTCTCAATTAAAGAAGTCCAAGTTCAATACAATGGTTTGGTATGGCTGTTTTACTTTTTTCAAATAAAGCAGGTGTTAAAGTTCATGCCATTACTGTGCCATAAAACCTAGACTCAGACACAAGTTAAAACGATGTACACAAACTAAATTTTTGCCACCAAGAACACTTAAGAGTGGCGGGGGTAACGTCTTCTAAAAGTGGTCTGTTGGTCTCTGTTGACAAACTGAAGACTTGTACAAATCACACCGATAAGAAGCACCTCCGACTCCACTTGAATTTCTATTATCAAAAATTATATTTAAGGGAAAACTGCTCAGTAATCTTCAAGGATTATGGTTCGTCGTTCTTTTAATGAATCTGGAAGACAAGGGGGATGGGGGAGTTACATTTGAATTTGTTCCAGAGGCCAAAGGGTCAGTATGAAACCAATTTCTTACTCTTAAACCGAGTTCACTTTAGCAAAGGTGACACTTGAGTGATTTCTTTAAAACTAGCACCAGTTAACCACAAGAACCTTCATTTAAATAGGAAAGCAATTCAGAAGGTGGGTAAACAAAGCAAAAACATCCCTCTTAAGCAGGAAGGCTACTCAAATTTAAAATAGGAAGAACTTTAAACAGAGCACCTTAAACAAAACTTAGAAGCTTGCTGTTGTGCCACTTAAACTAAAAGGTAATCCATTACTGTACTTCATTTCCTAATATTTAAAAAGGCAGTCTGGTTCCGTCACCCCCCCAAAAAAAATATAGCAACCACATGTAATTAAGTTACAATCTCAAGAGCATTAATTCGTCTGCCCTATGTGTACTATTTTTCTGGAATGACTGTAGGTAAAAATTAACTTTCCCTTTAAAAGGGTTAGTGAATTTGCTTAAAAGAAACCAAAAGCTTAGTACTCCATGCCTCGGAATCTCCATCCTTGAACAAGATTAATCCGGGACAAAAAGCACAAGGCAGACAGCCCTCTCACAAAGAATGCAAATGGAGGAAGAGAGAAAAAGAAAAGATACTTCTTCCACTTCCTTCTTTAGAGAAAACCCACATGAAATACAATAAATAGAATATCTGGCTTTCCAAACTCTCAACAATTTACCTTAAAACAAATCTAAAGGATCAAGAGTGAAGGCCACCAGCTATCCTACCGACTTTCGCCACCACAGGGGCTCCTCAGCCCACGCAGAGCCAGGCAGAGGGCAGGAGGCACGACCTAGACTGGGGGAGCACCCAAACTCCAAAGCGCTCCGCCCACGCAAAGCCACCCACCCATCCTTAACCTTAAGGGGTGAGGACCTGGAACGGGAGACCCAGGACGTCCGCGGGCTGTGAGCGAGGTGGAGGGAAGTAGGCGGAGGAGTCCCCACCACCACCCCTGAGCCTAGGATAACCCCAAGCGCCCTCCAGCACCGCCCCACGGCGGGGGCTGCCGGAAGGGCCGTGGAAAACCCCGCGCGCCCGCTCCCCGCGAACTTCTCCAGTGTTACCTCCGCGCCCCAAGGCTGCACCTCCCCCCGCCCGCCCGCCCGCCCAGAGTCTGACCCCATTAGGGACCGCGGGCGAGCGGGCGCCACTCCCGGACCCCGCGCCGCCGGGCGCCCTGGGCCAGCCCAGGTCATCCCCGCCGGGCGCAGACGGGCGGGGGCGGTGACGGGCGTCCAGGTCTCAGGGACCTGGCGGATCCGGTCAAGTGCAGCGTCTCTCCAGCCGCGCGCACCGCCCGGGGTCAGCGAGGTGCGACCCGTCGTGGGACACCCGCCCCGCGCGCCGCCCGGCCACGATCCCACCCGGGACCCGCGCATCCGGACCCCCTGCTCTGGCCTCCGCGCCCCTGGGAAGCTCCACCGGTTTGCTGAACTCCCCATTGCTCGGGCGCCGCCAAAGCCGCGCGCCCCCCGCCTCCCGCCGCGTCCCCCCGCGAGCTGGGGCCGCACCTGTGCCCGCCGCCGTCGCCGCCACTCGCCCGCTCCCTTCGGCTGTGCCGGCGCCGCTCCGAACCCCACACACATCGCTACACACAGCCCTCTGACGTCACCGAGCCCTCGGCCCGCCCACGTCACTGCGGAGACACTCGGCTTCCCGCAGACGCCGCCGCCGTCTCCGGCCGCCCGGGGGAGAGCGAGGGCGGCGGGGAGGAGGGGAGGGGACCCGAGCCAACAGCGAGGGCCGCGCGCGCAGCCGCCCGCCCGCGTCGCCACCGCCACCTCCGGCTCCCAGCCCCCTCAGGAGCGCGCGCGCCGTCTGGCCTATTGTGGCTCCTCAGGGCTGCCCCGACCTGTCGCCTCACGCGCGCGCCCCTCCCCCATGCGCGCTCCGGGCCCGCGCGCCGTCTGGGCGGCTGGCGCGCGACGCTGTCTGCGGTGCACGGCGCAGACAGGATGTTCCCTCCCGCCCCACCCCCACCGCCGCTCCCTCCTACCCTCCCTCCCTCCTTCCTTCCTCGAGTCGCCCAGCCGGCTGTCTGGGGCCACCGCCGCCCCGCCCTCGCCCCACCCGCAGCTCTGGGGGACCGGCCAGACCGCCGGAGCGCCCCGGGGAGGAGGGGAAGCCGGGAGGGGGCGGGGTGGCCGCACGGTGCACTGTGCGCGACCCCGGTGGCGGGCGAGGGCCGCCCGG